AAAGTGTTTGCCTTTGGGTTACGTATGTTCGTGCGTTTCCACTTTATTCCAATGCATTTCAATTTTTTTTGCAATAAAAGCGTTCTTAAGAGTTCTTGAAAAACCAAGTCTCGTAATATTCGTTTACTGACAGCCCCTCAAAATCGTCAACATGACTGATTCAAAAACAACTCTTTCTAGCGCGAGTTTGCCACTGCTTGAGAGTCTATTCGAATTGATTTAACTTTTTGATACAAAAATCAACATTACACTGTATATCGCCTTTAGAGTTCAAAACGCAGTGACTTAGAGAATTGTACCGTCACACTACAAAAGACGCTGGTGCACGAAGTAAATTCTATTAATAGTATGTTTGTTTAAAGGATCAAATATGTCTCTTATACATCAGTACAACTCATATAGCTTATATTTGAAAGGCTCCATGAATGGCGCAGATTGATATATCAATTCCGAGCTCGCATACCTTCTAAGAAGAAGGAGCAAATATTTCGATATAATTTTTGAGCATGTCGATGACAACAGGTTGCGATGCAACCTTGCAACACACTTGCTAGTACATCAACCATGCCCAGTTTTCCGTCCTCATGTTTTATAATTCAACACATCCTCTTTTAAATTCTTCTAAAGACAGCTCAGTAGGTGCTCAAGACAGATTTTAAGTCATAGTTTGTTTTTTCTTCTTATTTTGACCAAAACTTTTGGAATGCGATGAACATGCAAGCAACCTTGATTCATCAATGTCAGAATGCTCTCTGTAAGTACTTAAGAGGACTCAATCAATTTGAGTGCTTCACTTTTGTTACGTTCATTTGGTAAGGTATCTTCTGATGAGATACGGGTTTCAGCAGCAGAAACTGATGTTCAAGTGAGGTCACGCCTGAGAAATACGGTAGACTACAAGTACGAACCGCACCAAATTTTATTTCCTTGCTTTTCAAAATTCACCCTAAAAGGAGCTGTTTTGTCCATCGGAGAGTGTTCCTGCTGTTACCTCAAAATCCACTGCAGTTTAGGTTTAGAAGAATAGACTTATGTGTCCTGAAGTGTTATTCCTTATCTCTAACAATTTGCTGCTGAAAAGAAATGTGAGCTGCATGATTTGCACGCGCTTAGAAGTTCTTTTGAATTTAGATGAGAAATGAGTGGATATGTGCCTACCGTCTTCGGCGCATGCAGTGATTCATTCATGTGAAGAATTTATTAATAAGATCTTCTGGGAGAGATACAGACTCTAATAGTTCTACATGCAAGCTAACAGCAACTGAATCAAATGAGAAAACTTGAGGCAACAATTTATGGCAGAACAGGTTTAACTATCGAACTCCCTCATAATTCGCTCTGCTTCCTTGTTGTACATTACGAAAGAATTCTCATCAACAGTAATTGTCATTTCTTCATCAAGGTTATTACTCAAAACAAAAATATTAGGACCAATCTGGAAAAGCGAGGATCCGGCGAGGATCACTCGCACATCCAAGTGACAAGTGGTAGTCAACCCCAAGTAGTCAAAAGACCTCTTCCCTTGAATCCATTCAAAAACGAATATGCGAATTGCTGCTGACGAGATGGTAGTATCCGTCAGTGCTAACCAACTAAGTTTAGAGGACAGCAGATAGTTGTCGGATACTTCCGAGGGAAATCCAACAGCCAGACGATTCAACTGCAATAAGAAGAGTCAATTGAATATTTAGCGAGTACCTCAATAAAGCTGATAGTAAAAATTTATGTGATTTGTATGAAATGCTAACCTGCTTTGCTTCTTTGGATGACAGAACTTGAGCGGAGAAGTCGGATTGAGACGCGCTACTAGTCATAATGCAAAGTTCTGTCAGCTTGGCAGCTGGCAGGAGCTGACAAAACGTGCTCGGATCACAAGAGAAGCGACAAATCCCAAAGTTGAACTGAGCCACTCTGATATGATTTCGTAGTAGTAAGAAAAGAAATGATTCGACGAATGTCTGGGTGAAGTCAAACTGAAAAAAATAATCATCAATTACTTTGGATTTTTATTTCTCTAATGATTGAAGCTCTATC